GAAAACAGCGGGAGAGGGGTCAGGAGGAGGAAGCGGAGGACCAGAGACGGGAGGAGAGGGGGAGGAGGAAGGAGAGGGAGAGGGGAGACCAAGGGTCCGAAGACCCGAGACAGGAGGAGGAGACGGCAACTGCTGCTGCTGCGGCTGCTGCGGCTGCTGCTGCTCCAGCGGCTGCTGCCCCTGCTGCTGTCGCTCCTGCTCCTCGAGCCGCTGCAACTCTCTCTCCTCTCTCTCCAACTCCAGCTGCTCCTCACGAGCACGGCGAACACGAGCCTGGAACCTGGTCGGGTAGGGGTGGGGGGAAGGAGTAGTGTCCGGGGCAGCGGCAGCCCCAGAGTCGACCTCCGAAGCACCAAGCACACCACCCCCAGAGGCAGCACCAACACCAGCTCCAGACCCAGGCTCTCCAGAAACCGAAGGAACACCCTCACCCCCAGACGCAGCACCCCCAGACTCCGCACCAGCACCCCCAGACTCCGCACGACCAGTACCAGCCCCCGGAAGAGAAGAGTCCTCTGCAACCCGCGGCTCAGCTCCAACTCCAGCACCCCCAGAACCAGAGACCTGTACAGGGACAGTCGCAGGACCAACCTCCCGAGAGGGAGCACCTGCAGGAGGCGGCGAGGAAGACTGTGGGGAGGGAGGCTGTACAGGGGGGGCTACCGAAGGGGGAGGCTGAGACACACCAGACGGGGCTGGACCAGGGGGGGGAGGCTGTACCGGGGGAGCAGGCGGGGGAGCGGCTGTCAGGAAGAGGGGGGGAGGAGGAACCGGGAGACCTCGACTGGGGTACCTGACGTAGTACGGGGTGGACTCCTCGAAACGGACGTCACGGGAGTCAAAGAACCGGTGAGAGGGAGGGTGGTAAAAGGTGAAGTCAGAGGAGTCCTCAGGGAAACCAAGGAAGACACAAGGAACGGCGCGAGGCGAGAGCTTGTCCGCGGAGGTGTCGCGGACAAGAGCCAAGCACCCCCAGACACGAAACCTCGACGCGACACCAGGGGACCCTGTCCAAAGACTGGTCGGTGAAGCCTCCGGCCGAGAGACGCGTGGCCAGAGGTTCAGCTGGTGCGCGGCGTACCTGACTGCGTATGGCCACAGGAAATGGGGGGCACGGGCGTGAGTCAAGGAGGTGCGGGCAATCTCCATGACCAGGCCTATGCGACGCTCAGCAACCCCATTCTGCTGTGGGGACTCCGGAAGCGTCCAGGACTGACGAATGCCCTGTTCGCGACAGAATCCAGCGAGAATGCCGGAGCGAAACTCGCCCCCGCGGTCGGAGTGGAGACAGCTGACACGACGACCACGAGTGTCCTGGGTGGTAAGCAACCACCTGATCAGCGTAGAAGTCACCTCAGACTTCCTCGCCAGGGGGAACACTGTGGTGTAGCGGGAGTAGTCGTCAACGACCACCAAAAAGAAACGCTCACGCTCAGGGCCAGGGCGAGGAGAGGGGCCCCAGACGTCCAAGTGCAGCGTCTCAAAAGGCTCGGTGGCCGGACGAAGGGAGGAGGAGTGAGGGGTGGCACGCAGCCTACCCTCGACGCAAGGACCGCACGGTGGTGCAAGGGACGGCGGCAGCGACGGCAAGACACGCGGGAGACCTAAGACCAGACGCTGACTAGACATAGCACGCAGACGTGGAAGAGAAGGGTGTCCCATCCGGTGGTGCCACAGAACGGTGGGGTGGGCAAGCGACCGACAGGAGCAAGACGCAGCGACTGGACTGGACGCGACAACCTGAGGGGACGGAACCACCTGGTGAGACGCAGGGAGGAGACTAGGGGGAGGGACAGGAACTGGGAGGAGTGGCTGCTGCGACGGCGGCCGCTGTGGCTGCGGCTGCGGCTGCTGCCGCTGCTGCTGCTGCTGCTGCTGCTGCTGCTGCTGCTGCGGCTGCTGCTGCTGCTGCAGTCGCTGCTGAGCGCGCGGGCCAGTGTGAAGAGTGTAGAGACCGGAGCCCGGCTCAGCAGCAAAAGTGGCGAGGGGCTGGTAAGAGTCACCGTCAACACACACCGCAGTCTCTCCAGAAGGCTCAAACCACACACCCACGTGCTGACTCACGAGGGGTCGCACGCCCACCAAGTTCCGGGAGAACGAGGGGACGTGAAACCCAGTGAGAGACCCAGAAGGAGCAGCCGGACACGGCAAGGTGGTAGTGTGACGCGCGGTGACTGGTCCCGAAGTGGGATCAGCCAGCGCCACAGAAACAGGCGCAGGAAGAGGCGTAAGTGTCGTGCTGTCACGAAAGAAGCAGTGAGAGGCTCCAGAGTCCAGCGTGAACGACAGCGAACCGTCCTCTGAGGTAGCCGCTGGACTAGAGTCTACACAAGAACCTACACTAGCAACAGGCAACTGAGCAAGGCTAGCACCTAAGCTAACAACACCAGAGTAAGCAGAGTCAGAAACACTAGAGTCAACAACAGCATACATAGCATGGGGAGTACCAATCAGATCAACTAACTGCTCAGCAGACATGCCCCACAGAGCGGAGCCGTAGCGCTGAACAAGAGGCAGCCAGTCAGGGGCAGGAGCACCAACCCCGTAGACCAAACGAACCGTGTCAGTGAGCTGAGCAAAGCACTGACCAGGGGGGTGAAACCGGCCACAAGGGTGGCCACGACGAGGGCCTGTCAGAACCTGGTAGGTGCAGGGAGTGTAAGCAGCACCACGCTGGGTCTGACGCAGCCCCGACCCTGGAGCCAGCTGCTGCCGCTGCTGCTGCTGAGGCTGCTGGGAGGAGAGGGGCTGCTGGTGCTGCAGAAGCTGCTGCTGACGCTGAGCCTGGTACCACGCCGCTGCTCCACCAACCGGGGCAGGAAGTACAGGAGGCGACTGACGAACTCGGGCGTCGCCACCACTAGCAGGCGCAGTGGAGTCACCAGTCACTGCACGAGGCGCCTCTCCAGGCCCTGAACCTCCACCGCCGCCAGGCGCAACGCCACCTCCACTACCTCCGCCTCCACCTCCACTACCACCACCAGAACCGCCTTTCTTGCCACTCCTACCGCGGGACCGCGACGCAGTCGTAACAGCAGCTGCAGTCGCGTCAGTAGCGGCAGTGGCAAGTGAGGCAGTAAAGGTGGGTAACTGCGGGACTGTGCACCCGTGGAAGAGTGGGGGGGGCACAGCACCAGAGGCAGCGGCTACCGAGCGAAGGTTGCTCTCGACGTCCTTGAGTGTAGACTCAAGGACATCGACGGTGAGCTCACTAGGGTGCTTCAGCAGAAGCGCGTCACGAACGGAGGCAAGGCGGTCAGGGAGGCTAGTGGCGATGAAATAGATAGTAATCGCCATAGGGGGAGGAAGCAGTGCAAGCTGTGCCTCAGTGCAAGCAGCGCGGTAACTAGCGTCGAGCGAGCGGAGGTGAGCGATCAAGTCAGCAGAGCGCTCAAACGAGGCGAGATCAGGAAACAGGAACGGGAGGAAAAGACGGCCAAGAGAGACAGTAGCGGGAGTAGAGTAGCGGGCCTTAATCGCAGTGAGGTACGCAGCAGCGGTGCGAACCTGAGTGAAGTGGACCTCCTCTGACTCAGGGAGGAGGCTGCTGAGTGCGATGCAGGCCGCAGCGTCACGCGACGTCCAAGCCGTCCTGTCAGCGCGCTGACGGGCAAAGCGAGCCGTAGCAGCATCGTCAGGGGCAGGACCTAAAGCGGCAGGCTCGGGGGGCTCGGGGAGGTCACCAGTAGCGTGCGACCAGAGGGTCTCGCCCCCCTGGACTTGACTCTCTAACAGACGGCGAGCGCGAAGAAGCCAGACGGAAAAGTCAAGAGGTCTACCGTCAGCGTCGAAACGAAGAACTCGCGGAGTCGCCATAGCGAGAACTAACGCGAACGAGCAGGCGAGTAACAGCAGGAGGTAAGAGGCAAATTAGGGTTCAGGTGGGGGGGGGGGGGACTTAGTCGCAGCGGAAGAACGGGCTAGGGCGACGGGCCAGGGCGTAGGGTCGACGGGACGGGGGAAAGGGCGGGCGCGATGCGACGGGGCAGGGCGACGCGACGGGGCAGGGCGACGCGACGGAGCAGAGGCGACGGGACGGGGAAGGGCGACGCGACGGGGCAGGGCGACGCGACGGGGCAGGGCGACGGGACGGGGAAGGGCGACGCGACGGGGCAGGGCGACGCGACGGGGCAGGGCGACGGGACGGGGCAGGGCGACGTGACGGGGGGAAAGGGCGCGACGCGACGGGGGGAAAGGGCGCGACGCGACGGGGGGAAAGAGCGCGACGCGACGGGGGGAAAAGGGCGCGACTCGACTGGGGGGAAAGGGCGCGACGCGACGGGGGGAAAGGGACGCGACGAGGGGGAAAGGGCGGGCAGGACGCGACGCTAGGAGTGGCGCTAGGCGCGGCACTACGCGCGGTAACAACGGAACCGGGACGAATGAGAGCTAGGATCAGGCTCGGGAGGCTCGAACGGAGAACGGAGGAACGGGATCCCACAGGATCCTAACCTAACTGATACCATGTCAGAATGAAGAATGGATGATGCATTGATGTTGGTTGGGGTACATATAGCTAACCCTAAGTTTTGTACCCCCTAAGACAAACCTCACTATAGGCTACAACATTTGACAAAGATGTATACCGTAGTATAGTTACATAGGTCAGGCTGCATGCACTTCGTGCTGTGTTAATTAGAGTTAGGCACAGCATTGTATGCTATGCACACATTCTAGTCATTCAGTTCAGTTCAGCTTACTTCTTAGACAGCTGCCGCTTGTTGCTGGCAGCAGGCTGGTGGCTAGTGGCGGGCGAGAGGGGCGCTCTAAACGGTGCCACAGGGAGCTCTAAGGGGCGGGGGGAACTAGGGTAGTTTGGGTAGATGGAAGCGCGGACCTAACCTAACCTACGATGTTATGGTAGAAATAGAACTAGAATGATGACTACGATAGAACAAGGCATACAGGTTGTACATGTAGGGAGTCCATGAATGCCGGCACCGCGCAATCAATTGGCTTGGTACGGGCGCCTTGCCCATCACTGCCCCACGCAGGCACGTTCACTCGCCGTACTCCCACGCCACCTCCGTGACCCCCGCCTCGAGCACGAGGGCGCAGTGCAGCCCCTCCACGCCCAGGTAGTTGCCACCCGCACACGCCACGCCCACCTGCTCGCGCTTGCTGCGCCGCACACTGGGCTGCCGCAGGCGCTGCCCGTGCATGAAGCGCAGCGACACCTCCATTCGCTCCCTCGCCTGCAGCTGCAGCACCACGCGGTGCCGCCCGTGTGCCTGCGGCACGGGACGCGCGGTGAGCGTGGCGTGGAAGGGGGCGAGCAGCGATGCCAGCGATGATGGCTGCGCAGGTATGCCCGGCCACACCTGCAGGATGCGCACACTGTGGGGGAGGGAAAGGGTGGGGGGGAGGGAATGGAGCTATGTGCAGGAAAGGCGGAAGCAAAGATTGAGACAAGGCATGATTAGGGCCAAGAGTGCGAACGAAAAGAGGCATGTGCGAGGGTGAGGATGATGGGTGGCGAGGATGATGGGTGGCGAGGATGATGGGTGGCGAGGATGATGGGTGGCGAGGATGATGGGTGGCGAGGATGATGGGTGGCGAGGATGATGGGTGGCGAGGATGATGGGTGGCTGGGATGCAAGGCGCGGCACACACACCTGCCGATGGTTTTGACATCGGGGTGCAGCTTGTCGGAGGGCGGCACCAGCGTGTCCACGTCCTCCTCTATACTCTCTATAAGCGCACCCGCCCGCACGTACAGCGCCGTCTCATGCAAGGGCACGGGCACCTGCACAGCTGCCCCGCCCTGCAGGGGCACACCGGTGGGCGCCCAGAAGTGCACCCACGCGCTGCCCCCAGGCAGGTACACCGTCGCCTGCGTCACCCCAGCCTCGTACACCGGAGCCACCAGCAGGTCCGGGCCGAACCTGTACTGCCACTGCCACTGCGGGGAGGCAGCCTCGGGGTCGCCCTGGAAGCAGAGAGGCATGGCGCAGAGAATGGGGAGGCCGTGCGTGGCGCTGGCGAGGGCGGCGGCCTTGAGGTAGGGGAAGAGCGCCATGTGCAGGCGGGCAAAGCGGCGGTAGATGCGCAGCGTTATGGCGTCGTAGTCCCACGGGCCGTTGTTGGCCTGCCCGAACTGATGCATCAGCGGGGACAGGGCGCTGGCAGAAGGGGAGGGGTGTTGGGGTGGCAGAAGAGAAGGGGGGTCGGATGGGGGGGGAATAAGTTGTCAGGTTCGCCTGCCTGAACTGATGCATCAGTGGGGACAGCGCACTGTGTGGGTTGTCAGGTTCGCATGCCTGAACTGGTGCATCAATGGGAGAGAAAGATTGGAGGGAGGACAAGACAAGATAGCGTTTTGGGTGAAGGAGGAATGGAGACAACAGCGTCGATGCGTGGCCAAAACCGATGCATCACGTGGGAGAGCACAACAGAGGAGGGAGGGAGGAACACCTCAGTGCTGGGAATATTGACTTCCTGACAACTTGGACAGAGATTTCTGCATGCATCTATCTTTGTCCCTCTTGAATATAAATGTCTCGTGAACTGTACTAAAAATACAGTAAATACAGAATACTGCCCAAATTGTAATGGAGCCCTTCTTGGCAAGCGTGCTCACATCTTGCCATGCTCTTCTCATGACTTGCACTAGTCCTGCGCCTTTGCCTCACAGGGCGGCCCTCTGTGCATCACCTGTTCACAACTTCTATAAGTTGACTGCCTCTCAAATTGATCTCCTATACTCTCACTCTAAAGCTTCGTGTCAGCAAGTCACCATTCTGACTATGCAAATCCTCTCTTCTATCACACCAATCCTGCACCAATGCACACTCTCACTTGAGAATAAGGACGTATGTTTTGTATAGTGTAATTCATTCCTCCAATCCACCCCCACCCCCTCCCTTTCCCCCCCCTCCCCCCCAGCGCACCCGAACTGCGCCCAGCGGATGAAGAGCTCTTTGTGGATGGACTTGCCGAAGTACCCCGCGATGTCGCTGCCCCACAGGAAGAACCCCGACAAGCCTGCCGTCTGCCCCGCCATGATCACCGACGGGAAGCCCTCCGTGCGGTTCCAGTTGGCGCGCTGGTCGCCCGCCCACACGAACGACCTGCGCCGCACACACACGCACACCACATTCACAACAATTGGCGATGGCTTACAATGGTTGAGAAAGATACAGTAGAATATTGGCCAGAATCGTCCCAAACTTGGACAGGAAAAAGGTGATTATCGGCCATGGGCTCAGGCCCAGCAGCTATGCATGGACAGGAAAAAGGTGACTATCGGCTGTGCTCCCGACTGACTGCCATGCACAGTCACAATAGCAATCCAGTTTCCCCACAACCAGACTCTCCAAACCTTCGAGGACACGTCAGTTCTACACGAAGCCTTAAAGGTCAGAACCTTTTCAATACATCGTTGATGTTTCACAACAGCAAAGAACAGTGATGATAGTCGCAGCCTACAGCGGCAGAAAACCATGGAGTCTGCACTTTGAGGTGGACAGCGGGACACAAGGGAAGGTGGGATCGTAGCTAAAGACCAGCTTGACGGCATGAATCAGAATCAACAGACAGTACCTCGCTGTCTTTGGCGACGGTTTGTGGAAGTGGTGAGTGGTGGGGCACTCACTTGCCAGTGCCGGTGAATCCACTCCGGGCCATGAGCACCCCGTCCCCCTGCAGGTACTTGTCTATGAACGCACCCATGGCGCCCAGATACACCTCCACGTACTGCCGAGGCAGGGCAGCACGCATGCATGCATGGCAGGGTGATGGCAGGGCAGGGCACGGCGCAAGTATGGTGTGGTGCAGCGATGAGGTGATGCACACACGACATGACATGGCACGATGCACACATGCGAGGATGCACACAGTGAGTATACAGCATGCGGCAGTGAGTATACAGCATGCGGCAGTGAGTATACAGCATGTAGCAGTGAGTTTAAAGCATGCTGAGTGAGTATACACCATGTAGCAGTGAGTTTAAAGCATGCGGCAGTGAGTATACAGCATGCAGCACACAAGGCAGCATAGGGCAGGGCGGGGCAGGGCGGGGGAGGGCGTGGCAGGAGCGGGGCTGACCCGTGTCTTCATGACGGAGAGGGGCGAGCCGTCGTGGAAGGCAGCGCCGGGCTGAAAGTAGTTGCCCTCGCCGTCGTCACACTTGAAGCCGCGCGCCGTGGGCCACTGCAACGTGGCGTTCATCGCCGCATGCCAGAACGCCACCGCCGCCTCACTCGTGAAGTCCACCCGCCCGCCCTCGCCCTTCCACCACTTCACTATCTGGTGTTGCGGGGATTCCACCACTCCACACGCAGGCAGGAGATGTCATGTCAGAATTTACAAACTGTCGACTCGTGCCTTGAATTTTGGAGAACACACAGAAATTGGAGTGACGGGCATGACGGGGCCGAATTTGAAAACCAAAAGATTCAAGATTGATGCTGGTGACTCTTGAGTGAGCACAGCACGCACAGGTCAGATGGCGTCGCCAACTCGTGGCTGGCTCAACTGTCATGGTCGATTGCCCAGCCCACTGCCCCGCGCCCCACTCACGTCACCTGTGAGTCCACCCGCTCACCTGCGAGCCGCCCCCCTCCTGCTGCACGAGGAAGCCCTTGCTGTCAGCCTCGTCGAAGATGGCAGCGCGCCCCGCCGTGATGCCGCGCATGTCCACACGGTTGGCGCGGTTTATGAACGGCGTCGCCCAGAAGATGTTGTAGAACCTGGGGGGGGGAAGGGGGCAGCGGGGACATGCGTGAGACCGGAGGTGGCGTTGCCATGGGAAAGAGTGGGGGGGGAGGAAGGAAGGAGGGGAGAGGGGGGAATGAAGCGGGGTGCATCGCCGTTCAAGGCATGTTGGAGTGAGAGGGGACAAGCCGGCCATGCGAGAGCAGGTGGGGCACGGGTGGCTTGCGTTGTTGCGGGGAGGCAATGGCTGAATTGGAGGTGAAAGAAAGTGAAACATGCAGCATGGAGAGGCAGAAGCGGACAGGTAAAGGACAGCGACGGGGAAAAGCAGGCAGCGGTGGCTGAGAGGAAGGTGCTGGGAGTTGAGGTGCGGGCGTGCACAGTGAGGGAGGAGGTGCCTCTTGGCGGGAGTACGAGAGCTCCTCAAGGCGCAACTCACCCCAGCTCCTCAAGGCGCAGGAACATGTCCTCCGGGTCCTGGAATTGCTGGCGGTTGATGGAGAAGTCGTTGTAGCTCGTCTCCCACGGGCTGTCGATCAGAATCACCGACCCCGGTATGCCCTGCTGCCGCAGCTTCTCCGCATCTTCCAATACCTGCAGGTGGAAAAGCAGGGTCTGATAAGTGCACTGCTTGCACAGCACAGCCGGCGCCACCAGCGCTGGCAGCTCAGCTCTCACTCACGGCACACAGCCATGCAACTGAGTGACCGAGAACACAGTTGTCTTGCTGTGTGTGCCACTCGCACACGATGGGATTGATTGGTTCACCTCTCAAATGCACACGGCACATCTCTCTCTCACCTGCGAGCAGTTGAAGTGCACGTCTCACCTGCGAGCAGTTGAAGTGCACGTCTCACCTGCGAGCAGTTGAAGTGCACGTCTCACCTGCGAGCAGTTGAAGTGCACGTCTCACCTGCGAGCAGTTGAGGTGCACGTCTCACCTGCGAGCGGTTGAAGTGCACGTCTCACCTGCGAGCGGTTGAAGTGCACGTCTCACCTGCGAGCAGTTGAAGTGCACGTCTCACCTGCGAGCAGTTGAGGTGCACGTCTCACCTGCGAGCAGTTGAAGTGCACGTCTCACCTGCGAGCAGTTGAAGTGCACGTCTCACCTGCGAGCAGTTGAAGTGCACGTCTCACCTGCGAGCAGTTGAAGTGCACGTCTCACCTGCGAGCAGTTGCGGTGCACGTCTCACCTGCGAGCAGTTGAAGTGCACGTCTCACCTGCGAGCAGTTGAAGTGCACGTCTCACCTGCGAGCAGTTGAAGTGCACGTCTCACCTGCGAGCAGTTGAAGTGCACGTCTCACCTGCGAGCAGTTGAAGTGCACGTCTCACCTGCGAGCAGTTGAGGTGCACGTCTCACCTGCGAGCAGTTGAGGTGCACGTCTCACCTGCGAGCAGTTGAGGTGCACGTCTCACCTGCGAGCAGTTGAGGTGCACGTCTCACCTGCGAGCAGTTGAAGTGCACGTCTCACCTGCGAGCAGTTGAAGTGCACGTCTCACCTGCGAGCAGTTGAAGTGCACGTCTCACCTGCGAGCAGTTGAAGTGCACGTCTCACCTGCGAGAAGTTGAAGTGCACGTCTCACCTGCGAGCAGTTGAAGTGCACGTCTCACCTGCGAGCAGTTGAAGTGCACGTCTCACCTGCGAGCAGTTGAAGTGCACGTCTCACCTGCGAGCAGTTGAGGTGCACGTCTCACCTGCGAGCAGTTGAGGTGCACGTCTCACCTGCGAGCAGTTGAAGTGCACGTCTCACCTGCGAGCAGTTGAAGTGCACGTCTCACCTGCGAGCAGTTGAAGTGCACGTCTCACCTGCGAGCAGTTGAAGTGCACGTCTCACCTGCGAGCAGTTGAAGTGCACGTCTCACCTGCGAGCAGTTGAAGTGCACGTCTCACCTGCGAGCAGTTGAAGTGCACGTCTCACCTGCGAGCAGTTGAAGTGCACGTCTCACCTGCGAGCAGTTGAAGTGCACGTCTCACCTGCGAGCAGTTGCGGTGCACGTCTCACCTGCGAGCAGTTGAAGTGCACGTCTCACCTGCGAGCAGTTGAAGTGCACGTCTCACCTGCGAGCAGTTGAAGTGCACGTCTCACCTGCGAGCAGTTGAAGTGCACGTCTCACCTGCGAGCAGTTGAAGTGCACGTCTCACCTGCGAGCAGTTGAAGTGCACGTCTCACCTGCGAGCAGTTGAAGTGCACGTCTCACCTGCGAGCAGTTGAAGTGCACGTCTCACCTGCGAGCAGTTGAAGTGCACGTCTCACCTGCGAGCAGTTGAAGTGCACGTCTCACCTGCGAGCAGTTGAAGTGCACGTCTCACCTGCGAGCAGTTGAAGTGCACGTCTCACCTGCGAGCAGTTGAAGTGCACGTCTCACCTGCGAGCAGTTGAGGTGCACGTCTCACCTGCGAGCAGTTGAGGTGCACGTCTCACCTGCGAGCAGTTGAAGTGCACGTCTCACCTGCGAGCAGTTGAAGTGCACGTCTCACCTGCGAGCAGTTGAAGTGCACGTCTCACCTGCGAGCAGTTGAAGTGCACGTCTCACCTGCGAGCAGTTGCGGTGCACGTCTCACCTGCGAGCAGTTGAAGTGCACGTCTCACCTGCGAGCAGTTGAAGTGCACGTCTCACCTGCGAGCAGTTGAAGTGCACGTCTCACCTGCGAGCAGTTGAAGTGCACGTCTCACCTGCGAGCAGTTGAAGTGCACGTCTCACCTGCGAGCAGTTGAAGTGCACGTCTCACCTGCGAGAAGTTGAAGTGCACGTCTCACCTGCGAGCAGTTGAAGTGCACGTCTCACCTGCGAGCAGTTGAAGTGCACGTCTCACCTGCGAGCAGTTGAGGTGCACGTCTCACCTGCGAGCAGTTGAGGTGCACGTCTCACCTGCGAGCAGTTGAAGTGCACGTCTCACCTGCGAGCAGTTGAAGTGCACGTCTCACCTGCGAGCAGTTGAAGTGCACGTCTCACCTGCGAGCAGTTGAAGTGCACGTCTCACCTGCGAGCAGTTGAAGTGCACGTCTCACCTGCGAGCAGTTGAAGTGCACGTCTCACCTGCGAGCAGTTGAAGTGCACGTCTCACCTGCGAGCAGTTGCGGTGCACGTCTCACCTGCGAGCAGTTGAAGTGCACGTCTCACCTGCGAGCAGTTGAAGTGCACGTCTCACCTGCGAGCAGTTGAAGTGCACGTCTCACCTGCGAGCAGTTGAAGTGCACGTCTCACCTGCGAGCAGTTGAAGTGCACGTCTCACCTGCGAGCAGTTGAAGTGCACGTCTCACCTGCGAGCAGTTGAAGTGCACGTCTCACCTGCGAGCAGTTGAAGTGCACGTCTCACCTGCGAGCAGTTGAAGTGCACGTCTCACCTGCGAGCAGTTGAGGTGCACGTCTCACCTGCGAGCAGTTGAGGTGCACGTCTCACCTGCGAGCAGTTGAAGTGCACGTCTCACCTGCGAGCAGTTGAAGTGCACGTCTCACCTGCGAGCAGTTGAAGTGCACGTCTCACCTGCGAGCAGTTGAAGTGCACGTCTCACCTGCGAGCAGTTGAAGTGCACGTCTCACCTGCGAGCAGTTGAAGTGCACGTCTCACCTGCGAGCAGTTGAAGTGCACGTCTCACCTGCGAGCAGTTGCGGTGCACGTCTCACCTGCGAGCAGTTGAAGTGCACGTCTCACCTGCGAGCAGTTGAAGTGCACGTCTCACCTGCGAGCAGTTGAAGTGCACGTCTCACCTGCGAGCAGTTGAAGTGCACGTCTCACCTGCGAGCAGTTGAAGTGCACGTCTCACCTGCGAGCAGTTGAAGTGCACGTCTCACCTGCGAGCAGTTGAAGTGCACGTCTCACCTGCGAGCAGTTGAAGTGCACGTCTCACCTGCGAGCAGTTGAAGTGCACGTCTCACCTGCGAGCAGTTGAGGTGCACGTCTCACCTGCGAGCAGTTGAGGTGCACGTCTCACCTGCGAGCAGTTGAAGTGCACGTCTCACCTGCGAGCAGTTGAAGTGCACGTCTCACCTGCGAGCAGTTGAAGAACACGTCTCACCTGCGAGCAGTTGAAGTGCACGTCTCACCTGCGAGCAGTTGAAGTGCACGTCTCACCTGCGAGCAGTTGAAGTGCACGTCTCACCTGCGAGCAGTTGAAGTGCACGTCTCACCTGCGAGCAGTTGCGGTGCACGTCTCACCTGCGAGCAGTTGAAGTGCACGTCTCACCTGCGAGCAGTTGAAGTGCACGTCTCACCTGCGAGCAGTTGAAGTGCACGTCTCACCTGCGAGCAGTTGAAGTGCACGTCTCACCTGCGAGCAGTTGAGGTGCACGTCTCACCTGCGAGCAGTTGAGGTGCACGTCTCACCTGCGAGCAGTTGAAGTGCACGTCTCACCTGCGAGCAGTTGAAGTGCACGTCTCACCTGCGAGCAGTTGAAGAACACGTCTCACCTGCGAGCAGTTGAAGTGCACGTCTCACCTGCGAGCAGTTGAAGTGCACGTCTCACCTGCGAGCAGTTGAAGTGCACGTCTCACCTGCGAGCAGTTGAAGTGCACGTCTCACCTGCGAGCAGTTGCGGTGCACGTCTCACCTGCGAGCAGTTGAAGTGCACGTCTCACCTGCGAGCAGTTGAAGTGCACGTCTCACCTGCGAGCAGTTGAAGTGCACGTCTCACCTGCGAGCAGTTGAAGTGCACGTCTCACCTGCGAGCAGTTGAAGTGCACGTCTCACCTGCGAGCAGTTGAAGTGCACGTCTCACCTGCGAGCAGTTGAGGTGCACGTCTCACCTGCGAGCAGTTGAGGTGCACGTCTCACCTGCGAGCAGTTGAAGTGCACGTCTCACCTGCGAGCAGTTGAAGTGCACGTCTCACCTGCGAGCAGTTGAAGAACACGTCTCACCTGCGAGCAGTTGAAGTGCACGTCTCACCTGCGAGCAGTTGAAGTGCACGTCTCACCTGCGAGCAGTTGAAGTGCACGTCTCACCTGCGAGCAGTTGAAGTGCACGTCTCACCTGCGAGCAGTTGCGGTGCACGTCTCACCTGCGAGCAGTTGAAGTGCACGTCTCACCTGCGAGCAGTTGAAGTGCACGTCTCACCTGCGAGCAGTTGCGGTGCACGTCTCACCTGCGAGCAGTTGAAGTGCACGTCGCGGCCCTTCCAGGGAGCGAAGGCCCAGTCGGGCGGCATGGCGGGGCGCGCGGACAGGCGCGTGAACTCGGCGAGCACTGCGAGCAGCGAGGGGCCCGCCATGACCACCACGCGCAGCTGCTGCTCCCTGTACCGTATGGCCTGCACAGTAGGTGGGGGGAAAGATATCGATGGAGAGAGGAGAAGCGAAGAGAGACACAGGGAAAAGGCAGGGAAAGGAGGTTGCAGCGGAAGTGGTGGATTTCAGCACGCACCCACCCACCCACCCCACAGAGACTTGCACCATGCATTCCAGCCGTACCAGCACATCCGGCTCGTCTGGAGCGCCAAGGCTGAAGGAGCCGTTGGCGTAGGACTGCACCCACACGCCGTACCCGGTGCTGCTCATCACAAACGGCACGGGCTTGTAGCTGCGCTGCGCCTGGGGGGTGGCGCAGTGTGGGGAGGCGCACAGGAAAGAGGCGTGGACATGGGCACAAGGGGATGATGCGCGAGTGGGTTGAGTGTTAGGTGGTGTGTAGGTACTCCCCACTCCATGTGTGCGTGGGGTCATACGTCTAAGTTTACGCTTGATGTCAACGTGCGTTTACAGTTGCCTGCAACTAGTTCATGCTTTGGGTCGGCCTACATCCGTTCTGAATGTCGTGGATTGTATGATATTGCCGGAGGTGCTTGTGTGTGAAGTATGTGAATATCAAATCTCCAGTGTGATCTCTCATTGTACCTCGCGAATCAAATCAAGCCTGGCACTGTTCCTGTGTGCATGATGGTCCTCACAACAAGAGATGGACATATGGCCTTCTCTGTGAGTGTACTTGCACAATCTCCACTGTTCCGCAATGCGGGCCGCGCGCTTTGATGAGTGTCCAACGAGCTCACGTCACACATCTCGACAGGCACAGCCACATCTCAGCATGTACAGTCACATCTCAGCACGTACAGTCACACCGCAGCACGTACAGTCACACCACAGCACGTACAGTCACATCTCAGCACGTACAGTCACACCGCAGCACGTACAGTCACACCACAGCACGTACAGTCACACCACAGCACGTACAGTCACGTCACACCACAGCACGTACAGTCACACCGCAGCACGTACAGTCACACCACAGCACGTACAGTCACACCACAGCACGTACAGTCACACCACAGCACGTACAGGGTCGTCAGTGAAGCGGTCGAACGAGAACATGGGCAGCACGTTGCCCTTCTGGTTCACCGCATTGAACCGCTCTCCACCGCCGTACCACCCCGACGCATTGTCTGCTATCTAAGAGGATATGATGGGGTGGTGGGAAGGGACACAACTGGAGCGAGGAGCGGTAAGACAGAAGATAGCAAGGGAGCACATGGTGCATAGCAAGGGAGCAGTGACGAGTAGCAGGGCATGGCAGCATGTGGGCGGGCAGAGAGGAGGAGCGATGAGTGCGCATGGCAGATGCTGCCCGCCCACTCACTGCACCGCACAGTACCAGTAACCATTGAAAGGCACTGTTATTGCTCCAAGGGAAATTGCTATTGGTAATTTCAAGATTGATTTCCTTAGAGAAGTGTTAATAGGAAGATTACAACCTCGCAACGAACTTGAGTATATTGATAAAGAAGTTCTCCATATAGAAGAAATCAATAGCCACACGCAACTCCCGTCACCCCCCACCGTCCCTGTCACCTGGTCCCGCTACTCCCCTCCCCCCCATCCCCGGTGCTCACCCGCAGGGTGAAGTCAACCCCGTCGGGGAAGAGCAGGGGCGAGCTGACCTCCCACGTCACCACCACCGCCTGCTCGCTCAGCCTGCTCGCCCTCACCGTTACTGAGGGCAGCGCGGGAGCAGCAGAGGCGTTCTGCCCCGCGGGCTGGGCTGCAGTGGCAGGGGAGTGGCACGCATGGGTGGATTGCAGTTGAGCATGAGTGCAGTGTGGAGTCACCCCCAAGTCAATCACGGCGCCGAGTCGAGTCTGATATAGCTCGTGATCACAGGGCGAGGCGTGCGATCGGCACCACTGACTGGAGTGCGAGAGAGGGCGCAGGGGGGAGGTACATACGATACGAGCAGATGAGGTCAGTAGGAACAAGGCTCGGGTTCTTTACTTGTTGAACCGAGTAGTAATGAGGTGGTTACAGGGCGGAATACTAGAAGGAGGTGAGAGTGCGAGTGAAGTGAGTAACGGGACACTCCACTTGCACTCGCAAGGGAGGCTCTCCCCCTCTGCTGTCACACGTGCTTCCGTGGCTGAGGGGGGCACATGTGAAATGACTGTGGATTGGGGGTGGTGTGCGGGGGAGGTTGGGAAATTACAAGCGTGGTCAGGATGAAAGAGAAGGTTGGGGGCGATGGTGGGAGAGGAGGGTGGGGCTGAGGGTGTGGGGGGCATTGTGGTTGCGGTCAACGCCAGTAAAACCTACACGACTTACCTTGGGAGCAGAATATCTGCCTTTACAGGTAGTGCACTGGGCTCGATACTCGAACAAGGCTAGTCACAACAAGGCGAATACCACTCGCCCACTGAATGCTTTTACCTAGCCCAGAAGGGGTTCTACCTACTGAGAAGATGCGTGGAGACGAGAGCACATGGGAGGGGTGTGGATGAGATGAGACGACATGCATGCGCGGTGAGTAGAGCAAAAGAATGGCTCTTAAGATGTGGTAGTATATCACATTAGGCACTAAACCCCAACCCTCCAGTGCCCCACCACTTGCATTGGCTCAACTCATCTGCTCGTGTCGAGGTGGAACGGAGAGGGTGGGCGATTGTAGAGATGGTGAGAGGGCGGTGAGAGGGGCGGTTGTGGAGGAGGCATGAGGGAGAGATGTGCGAGACAGGGGCTTTAAGAATGCATCGTGGCACGCAGTGCACGCCGCGCCACACACCCACTTGCACTCACCTCCCTCAACGCCCTGCGCCTCCCCCCCTGCGTGCCACGTGGCAGTGCGCCCAGCGCCGTCCACCACGAGCCCCTGCACGCGCGCCCCCCCCACCTCCATGGCGGGCAGCTGCAGGCGCTGCTGCCGCCGCTTTGGCAGGGGGGAGGGCGCGGGGAGGGGCGCGGGGGACGAGGCGGAGGGGGCGAGGAGCAGCAGCTCGCCGTCGCCCGAGGGGTGGTACGCTATGGATAGCCTGGGAGGAGGAGGGGGTGTGCGGTGAGGGGGGGAGGGGGGGAGGAGAGGTTGAAGGGGAGTTGGACAGGTAGAAGTGAGAGAGCGTGATGCACCAATGACCATATTCCCAATCCTCCACATTCAGAATTCCCCTGTTTTCCCAGTTACCCCCTGCGAGGCACCGATTCAGCTGCCAGTACTTGCCACATCGCGCTCCTCACCACCCAGCATCCCCGCCCCTCATTCTCCCCGCCTTCCTCGCGCTTCCCTCCGCCACTCCGCATTCCGCGATGACCGCACCGCCGCTCGTGCGCGGCCCACCTTCCCCGCCGCCCCACCTCCCTGCATACATGCGCATTCCCTCCCAGCCCCGCGCCAGCCGCTAAAACGTCCCCCCGCTTCTGCCGCCACGCGCGCAGACTCACCACTGCGTGCTTGCGCCGACGGCGGCGGGTTTCGCTCGGCGCGCGAGGAGCGAGAGCAGGTAGAGCGCGCCGAGCACGGCGGGGCCCACCAGCGGGAAGTACCGCAGGTTGCGCGCGGAACCCGCGGTGCCCACCGCTCTCCGCGCGGCGCTGGTCCGCGCGTGCGGCGGCATTTTGCGCGGAACGGTCACGGAGCTGAACGGCTGCTGGTGGCTCGGTAGCGAGCTGCCTGTGCTTGTATCGAGCGGCTTATAGCGGAATCGGATGGGCAGCGCGTCCCCATTCACCATCTCCTATGCGGGCGACATGAACGCAGCCTGTGCGGTGCTGCGCGGTGGTGTGTGATGCGACGAGAAGACGCGCGGTGAGGCGCAGGAACGAACGGACACGTGGATCATTCAGCAGGGACGAGGCGCAGTTTTGTCACCTAACCGATGAGAAGCTTTCAAATATTTAGGGATTTGGGAAGGTGGTATCCAACCCAACTGTACAATCTCGCACCCCCCAACACAACTCAACTGTCCCAAGTGACGTCACTCCCTCAATTCCCCTCACTCGTGACCCATGCTGATATTTCGAATCCCTAGTCGCATAGGTACACCTCAAGCGTCAATGGCTGACGAAAGGCCCTCACGCGTGCGATGGGCGTGCAAGCAATGACATCTGCCCGCCTGACACGGGGTGACCGTTAAGTCCACGCACCACGCTCCCACACTCCCACATTCTCCCCACCGGGCTGCTTTGCTCGCGACGACCGTGCCACCCATTGAGTAGCCGCCGCGCCGCCATGCGCTGGAAGAAGTGCGACGACGCGCGGGCCGCCCAAGAAGGGCTGCGAGGGGCACTCGCAGCGCGCCGGTAGTCTCCCGCATTGCACTTCTTCTCCCCCCGCCGTCATCCCCCGCGAATCTCCCGCTTCCCGCCGTCTCCCCGCGCGCGTCGTTGGTGCGTTCATCCCCCGCGGGTGCGCGTTGGTAGGAGCGCCCTTCCCCATGTCTTCCTCGTCGCACCACCACTCCGCGCGCGCCTCGCTGCGATCCCGCTGGCACGGCGGCGCGCACAAGGCGGGGTACGGAATCCGCGCAGCGCACGTCATCCAGGCGTGCGCCTTCGCTATAGTCACGCTATGGCTCTGCTACCACTGGTCGCACGCCCCGCGCCGCCAGCCCCCGCGCGACGCGGACCCGGCCGCGGCGAGCGCGGGGAGGCTGCAGGTTCGGGGGCTCGTGGTGGAACGGCCCAAGCCCAAATATGTGGCTCGGCGGAAGAGCCGCAGCGTGATCTCCCTGGAGGGCCCCGGCGACCGCGACCTGCTGCCGGGGGACGGCGCGCTGGCGGACGCGGAGGGCGCGCGCGGCGGAGGGGCGGCGCTGGCGGGGGGAGATATCGTGCGGCGCATCGTGGCGAAGGCGGGCATGGCGCAGGCGCGCGGCGTGAAGCTGAAAGACCTGGTGGAGGCGAAGGCGCAGGGCGGGGGGAACCTGCTGGGGGAGTTCGGGGGGGAGGCGGAGGAGGGGGAGCGCGCGTGGGAGGAGGAGGGCGAGTTGGAGGAGCGCGCGCTCGTGGACCTCAAAGGCGGCGGGCGCGAGGCGAAGGTCGTGCAGCGCGCGCTCGATGAGACGCGCGCCGTGGAGGGGGACGGCGGGGGGGAAGGCGGGGCGGAGGGCGAGCGCGAGGGCAGTGCGGCCTCGGCGCTGGAGGTGGCGGAGGACGCGGAACTGGGCGCGGGGAGGGGGGGCGCGGACGAGAGAGGCGCGGAGGGCGGGCGGAAACAACAGGCGGGGCGGGCGGGGGAGAGGCAGGGGGAAGGGGGGAGTGGGAGGTTGTTTAAGGCGGACGTGAGAGGGGAAGAAGTGGCAGGGATGGAAGGGGAGGCGCGGGGAGGGGAGGAGGAAAAGCAGGGAGGGAGAGAGGAGGATGAGGATGAGGCGAGGGGCGAGGAGGATGGGACAGGTGACTCAGACGAGGGCGGCAGCAGCAGCAGCAGCGGTGGCGACGGCGGCGCGTGGGAGGGGAAGCAGCAGGGGGCGGAGAACAGCAGCAGTGCAGCAGGGTACCCGGTGGTGCTGGCGCGCACGAGGCGCATGGCAGTGCGTCTGCACGCCCCCTCCGCGCGCCTGCTGCTCGCCTTCCCCCCCACGCGCACCGCCATGCCCGCCCACCCGCCCGCCCGCCTCACTGCCGTGCCGCCCCTGGTGCTGCCGCTGCTGTCGCCCGTGCTGCAGGGGCGCGTGTTGTCGGACTTCCAGGTGGAGGGGGACAGTGCCAGTGGTGCGCTGGGAGGGGGGACGAGCAGCACACAGCGCGTGGCGTGGCGGGGGCACGTGCGAGTGGTGGGAGGTGAGAGGACATGGGCATAGGGAGAGGAGGGGAGCATGAAGCTCTTTCTCTCTTATGGTCCTTTATTGATTGATGTAGTCTGTGTTATACAGCGGGAGTGCAATACGGTAGGTACGCATGGGCCATGGTAGGCGATGCTCATGGCTGCTGCTCCCCCAGTAGGCAGGTGGCTGGTGCGTGCGCGCCCCCCCTAAGTTGGGTGAGCGTGGGGACGGCATCAGGTGGGAGGTTCGCTTCAGCTGCGGCGAGTTGGGCAGGTAGGGCTGTGGGGGTGACCGGTGGGAGGGGGGGGAAAGGCTCGAAAAGCGGCAGCAGCTGTGACAGTTGGCGGGCGAGTGGCAGCAGGGGGGTCAGCCAGTAGGCATGTTGCCAAGGAGTCTCGGATGTCTCGTGGAAAATGGCGGGCAAGTGGGGGCTGGTGAGAGGAAATGGGCATAGGGAGTGGGGGGAAGCATGGGTTTCTTTCTCTCTTCCCCAATAACACCCTGCACTGTGCTCTCCAATTCCCCCACCTCCTCTCCCTTCCACCCCCCCAGCTGCTTCCCTCTCCATTATTGTCACTCCTCTCAGCCACACGCTTTCGCTCAACTCTCTCGTGCATGCCTTCACCCCTCCTCCCTCTGCGCTCTTGTGTGTGCCGCACACCATGCCTGCAGGGGACGGCCAGGCAGCGCAGGGAAGGGCGGAGGGCGTGGGGAAAAGGGCAGGGGGAGACGAGGGCGAGGAGGTGGAGGTGCGGGTGGGGGTGAGCGCGGAGGTGCTCACTGCCAAGGCCATCGCTGTCACCTGGACCGTCCACCCCGCTCTCGTACGCCCTGCCATGCCATGCCATGCCATGCCATGCCATGCCATGCCATGCCATGCGCTGCCATTCGCTGCCATGCCATGCCATGCGCTGCCATGCGCTGCCATGTGCTGCCATGCCATTCTATGCCCTGCCATGCCATGATATGCTATGCCCTTCCCTGCCATGCTCTTCGCGCCCTCCTCCATGTGCAGTGTTGTGCTGCAACACGCTGCACTCCCTCCCCCGATGCGCTGCACTCCCTCCCCCCATGCGCTGCACTCCCTCCCCCCATGCGCTGCACTCCCTCCCCCCATGCGCTGCACTGCCTCCCCCCATGCGCTGCACTCCCTCCCCCCATGCGCTGCACTCCCTCCCCCCATGCGCTGCACTGCCTCCCCCCATGCGCTGCACTGCCTCCCCCCATGCGCTGCACTCCCTCCCCCCATGCGCTGCACTGCCTCCCCCCATGCGCTGCACTGCCTCCCCCCATGCGCTGCACTCCCTCCCCCCATGCGCTGCACTCCCTCCCCCCATGCGCTGCACTCCCTCCCCCCATGCGCTGCACTCCCTCCCCCCATGCGCTGCACTCCCTCCCCCCATGCGCTGCACTCCCTCCCCCCATGCGCTGCACTCCCTCCCCCCATGCGCTGCACTCCCTCCCCCCATGCGCTGCTCTCCCTCCCCCCATGCGCTGCACTCCCTCCCCCCATGCGCTGCACTGCCTCCCCCCATGCGCTGCACTCCCTCCCCCCATGCGCTGCACTGCCTCCCCCCATGCGCTGCACTCCCTCCCCCCATGCGCTGCACTCCCTCCCCCCATGCGCTGCACTCCCTCCCCCCATGCGCTGCACTCCCTCCCCCCATGCGCTGCACTGCCTCCCCCCATGCGCTGCACTCCCTCCCCCCATGCGCTGCACTCCCTCCCCCCATGCGCTGCACTCCCTCCCCCCATGCGCTGCACTCCCTCCCCCCATGCGCTGCACTCCCTCCCCCCATGCGCTGCACTGCCTCCCCCCATGCGCTGCACTCCCTCCCCCCATGCGCTGCACTCCCTCCCCCCATGCGCTGCACTCCCTCCCCCCATGCGCTGCACTGCCTCCCCCCATGCGCTGCACTCCCTCCCCCCATGCGCTGCACTCCCTCCCCCCATGCGCTGCACTCCCTCCCCCCATGCGCTGCACTCCCTCCCCCCATGCGCTGCACTCCCTCCCCCCATGCGCTGCACTCCCTCCCCCCATGCGCTGCACTCCCTCCCCCCATGCGCTGCACTGCCTCCCCCCATGCGCTGCACTCCCTCCCCCCATGCGCTGCACTCCCTCCCCCCATGCGCTGCACTCCCTCCCCCCATGCGCTGCACTGCCTCCCCCCATGCGCTGCACTCCCTCCCCCCATGCGCTGCACTCCCTCCCCCCATGCGCTGCACTCCCTCCCCCCATGCGCTGCACTCCCTCCCCCCATGCGCTGCACTCCCTCCCCCCATGCGCTGCACTCCCTCCCCCCATGCGCTGCACTCCCTCCCCCCATGCGCTGCACTCCCTCCCCCCATGCGCTGCACTCCCTCCCCCCATGCGCTGCACTCCCTCCCCCCATGCGCTGCACTCCCTCCCCCCATGCGCTGCACTCCCTCCCCCCATGCGCTGCACTCCCTCCCCCCATGCGCTGCACTCCCTCCCCCCATGCGCTGCACTCCCTCCCCCCATGCGCTGCACTCCCTCCCCCCATGCGCTGCACTCCCTCCCCCCATGCGCTGCACTCCCTCCCCCCATGCGCTGCACTCCCTCCCCCCATGCGCTGCACTCCCTCCCCCCATGCGCTGCACTCCCTCCCCCCATGCGCTGCACTCCCTCCCCCCATGCGCTGCACTCCCTCCCCCCATGCGCTGCACGCCAGCCGCCACATGCTGTGTTGTGCTGCGCTCATCGCTCGCCGTCTGTGTTTGCGCTACGTCTCATCTGCACCTTTGCATGTCTGCCTGTCCTTTCGCTGCCCATTCTTTCGTTGCCATCCCACGTACTTGCTTGCACTGCATCTTCAAGTTCTCCTTTCTCTTCCTGCCTCCCTCTTGTGTAACCCTCTTCCCTTTCTCGCCCTGCTCTCGCGTCCTGTCACCACCCTGCCCCCTGCGTGCGTGCAACATGCCGCAGCCAGCAGCAGCACGGCGGGCGCGGCGCCGCTTCGAAGCGCCACTGCTGCTGGAGCTCAAGGTGAGTTACATCGGACCATTAAACCCACCGCTTCCATTCCACTCCCCACCTGTTGCCTCGCTGTCACACCACACCACAGCACACCGGTGCTGAGCAACTCAAGCCTGTTCCTTCCTCGTGCCTCTGCATGTACTGCCACACACTTCTCTCACCGCCACACACTTCTCTCACTCGCCTTGCACTCATTCCCATCCCCCTCGCCTCACCCCCTGCAGATCCGAGACAGCCCTGTTGGATGGTACGGCGGTGGAGAGCGGTTCAATGCGGTGAACCAGAAGGGCAACGTGCTGCCCATGGCCAGTCGTGACACGCCCTCAGGCAACCAGGTGGGAGCAGGTGGGACCAGGTGGGAGCAGGTGGGACCAGGTGAGAGCAGGTGGGACCCTCACTTGAAGTGGCAGGGCGAAGTTCTTTCCCTCCTATCGCCCGTCTTCTCCTGCCGCGCTCGAGTCAAATTAAGCCCTTCATTGCCACTTTCCCCCTCTTGCACTCCCTCCCCTCCCATTCCCCCTTCTCTCCCCCAGGCTGAGTGCACATACAAGGCAGGCGGGGCCGTTGGGGATGAGACGAGTGTGAGTCGATTAAAATGTCTCCCCACCCCCTCCTCGCTGTGCGTGCCGTGCAGGCGGAGCGCACATACAAGGCGGTGCCATTCGTGATGAGCACGTCGGGGTGGGGCGTGTGGGTAGACTCACACGCGCAGGGCTCCTTCCTGCTCAACCACGCCTCTCACCCACACCACATGGTGCGAGGCGCGCTGCTGCATGCATGGTGTATGCATGGTGGACACATCAGTGAAGTGCATGTGTGTGCTGGCTATCGGGGCAGTGTGCAGACCTGCTTCCACTCCAGCCATCGTCAACTCTGTGCCCAAACCATGCATCGCGGCACCCCGCTCACGTCGGGGTGGGGCGTGTGGGTGGACTCTCACCCCGCCATCTTCCCACTCTCATCCTGCCACCTCCCCATCTTCTGCCCTACGTACCATGCCATGCCGCACCACCCTCGCCATTTGATTCTTCTCTCTGCTCACCTCCCTCCAACCCCCCGTCACCCCACACCTTGACGTGCGTCTCTACTCCCTCACTGCCCCCCACCATCATCCTCTCCCTACCCCCTCCCCCCCCCATCAGGTGCTGCGCTACCCGCTCTTCACCTCGCTGCGCGTGGTGTTCATGGGGGGGCCGCGCCTGCTGGGCGTGCTGGCGCTCTTCTCGCGCCTCTCCGCGTCGCGCCCCATCCCGCCGCCCCTCTGGGCCCTCGCGCCCTGGAAGGGCCGTGACGTGCACCGCACCAGCCAGGAGGTGCGGCAGGGGCGACGGGTGTGTGGGGTGCGTCTGGATTGAGGGGTGTGTGGGGTGCATGGGGCATGTGGCAGGTGTGCACCATGCACTCGGAATGCGCCCACTTCATGGGCCGTGGCCCCATGTGGGCGGATAGGGGTTGCAATGTGTCTGATTCTTGGCACGGGAAGGTGCGTGGTGTTTTGTGAAGGGCGTTGAGTGGAGGGTGTGTGGGGGGGAGAATGGGACAGGTCACGGGTGCATCGCATGAAGGTGTATTGAGAGGAGAGGGTGCTGGCGTGTGAGGGGCGCATGGGAGGAGCGCATGGGAGGGGCGCACAAGTGGTATGGAAGTGGACACTGGGATGCACGAGACGAGCAGCTGTCAGTCAACCTGGCAGGCGTCCTGTGCATGGACTCACGTGTGTTAGTTGCTATGGGTCTGCATGAGGCTCTCGTAGTGCCACACATGCCACGCATGATTGTGCATATACATGTGGCGTGCATGTGCCTTGCATCCGGAACACATGCGCGTCTCACCCACACAGGTATTGGAAGATGCGGAGAAGCTGCGGCAGCAGGGCATACCAGGGTCGGTGATTCTGATAGACAGCCCGTGGGAGACGAGCTACAACGACTTCTCCATCAACCGCCAGCAATTCGATGACCCCCAGACGCTCTTCTCCAAGCTGCATGCCCTCGGGTGCGCCCTGCTGTTCGTTGCAGTGCTGTTTGGTTCTGTGCGGTGACCTGTAGTGCACACAGTCGTACTATCCTTTCACTCAGCATTCAACTGCTCATCATCCCCCACTTCATCGTCCCTCTCCCATCTTCGTATTTCCTTCCCCCGTTTCCCCTCGCCCCCCGCCCTGGCAGCTTCCGGGTGGTGTTTTGGGCGACGCCGTTCATCAATCTGGTCAACCGCGTGGACATGCGCGGCATCACACCCACCGCCGCGCCCAACTACCACGAGGCGGCGCAGCACGGCTTCCTCGTGCGCAACGCCACGGGCCACCCGCAGGTGGTGCGGTGGTGGAAGGGGCGCGGGGCGCGCGTGGACCTGAGCAGCGCGCAGGCGGAGCGGTGGTGGCGCGGGCAGATGGGGCGGATGCTGCAGTGGGAGGAGGTGTTCGGGGGCGTCAAGGCGGACGACGGCGAGGGCGCGTTCTTCGAGGCGGGCGCCGTGTTCCATGATGGCACGCCGCTGGAGCTCATGCGCAACAAGGTGAGGTCATGCGCTACAAGGTGAGGTCATGCGCAACAAGGTGAGGTCATGCGCAACAAGGTGAGCTTTGCATGCGTGCATGGGTGTTTGCTATCCCCCAGCTGGCACACCGTCTCCAGCACACCCCATGCATCCTTCCATCTCCGCTTCCTCGTGCTGTCTCGGCCATGCCAATGCATCTCTGCCCCACCGCCCTCTGTTCTCTCATGCTGCCGCTCACTTCCCACCCTCTCACGCTCGCTCTTTGTCTCCATGTGCCTTGCCTCGCCACCACGCCTTGCCACCTGATTCACGACCTGCCCCTATGGCAGTACGTGCAGCTGTACGTGGCCAGCATGCAGCTCTACATTGCTTTACCTCGTCAACCCACGTCTTCTCCCCCCTTGCACCATCGTCACCTCCAACCCCCCCTTACCATGACGATGCGCCCCCATGGCATGGCAGTACATACAGCTGTACCTGGCCAGCATGCAGCGCTTCATCAACAAGAGCGTGGGGGCCACCCAAGGCGTCGTGCTTGCGCGCTCTGCCTTCACTGGCACCGCCAGGTGATTCCCACCCTGCCGGACGATTTGATATCATTATTCCGCCACCATGCACACCACTATTTTGAAAGTATTCCGAACCTCAAACCGCCTGGTTTTCCGAAGCTTTTTTTTCCGCATTGACTTCCGTTAAACAAAGCGGGTATCGCCCTGTAAGCTGCCTTGGCTCCCAACATGCCCTGTAAGCTGCCTTGGCTCCCAACATGCCCTGTAAGCTGCCTTGGCTCCCAACATGCCCTCCCTCCCCCATCGCTCTCAACTGTCGTCCTCACATGGGCAGTAAACACCATCCTATTCTCTCTACTCCCCGCCTGCCTCTATCCTCACCTCTTTGGTCATTCCTTTCCGTGTCCTCTACCACGCGAGTCTCACTGCCTGTGCATGCTGCATGCTGCATGTCATGCACCGTGCGCCTCACATGGACGCCATACACCCGCTTCTCTCCCCGCTCCTCCTCCCTCCACCCCTCTGCAGCTCCTTTGTGTGGGCGGGCGACAACAGGGCGTCCTTCTCGCGGTCGGACGGGCTGCCATCGGTGGTGGTGGCGGGGCAGACAGCGGCGCTGTCAGCGCTCTTCCTGTGGGGCAGTGACATCGCGGGGTACCTGGGCAAGGCCATCCCGCGCAACGTCTTCATCCGCTGGACGCAGTTCGGGTCAGTCACCACCGGCACCCACCTCCGCTTATAAAAGCCTCCCCTTTTCTTTTCGTCTCCTGCTCTTCTTTTCACCCACACTCTGACCATGTCTTGTCCCTCTTCGTCCCTCTCTCTTCCCCACCCTCCTCCTCTCCCCATCCCCCCAGCGCCCTGACCCCGTTGATGCACCAGTGCGGGCAGGCGAACCTGACAACTTAATCCCCCCCACCCGACCCCTCTTCTGTCTTCCCCCCCCTCCTCCCCCTCTGCCAGCGCCCTGTCCCCGCTGATGCATCAGTTCGGGCAGGCCAACAACGGCCCGTGGGACTACGATGCGCTCACGCTGCGCATCTACCGCCGCTTCGCCCGCCTGCACACCACCCTCGCGCCGTACCTGCTGCGCGCGGCACGGCTGGCGTGCAGCGAGGGGCGGCCGGTGATGTGCCCCATGGCCCTGTGCGCGCAGGGGGATGAGGCCGCGGAGAGTGGGCGGTGGGAGGGGCAGTACCTGCTGGGGGGCGACCTGCTGGTGGCGCCCGTGGTGAATGAGACTGACAGCGTGCAGGTGAGGCACAGCACCATGCACGCACATACTGCATGCTCCATTCACCCATAGATATTTTCCTCTTCGTGCAGGTGCTACGGCAGGTGCTACGGCAGGTGCAAGTTGACACGCCCCCATCTCTGACTTCACTCCATTTCCTCGTATTTCTTTGCTCCCTCTTGCCTCCCTCTCCCCCGGTGCACACCCCCTACACCACATGCCTCATTACCACCACGTCGCCACCCCTCACGCCACCCCTCACGGCACCCCTCACGGCACCCCTCCCGGCACAGGTGTTTTTCCCGGCGTCCACCCCGCACTGGCGCCATCTGTTCTCAGGGCGGCGGTACAGCGGGGGGCAGGTGGCAGGGGTGGCGGTGGCGTTGGAGGAGGCGGCGGTGTTTGTGAGGGAGGGCGCGGTGCTGGAGGTGCTGCCCGATGACACCCACACCCTCGTGCCCTGTGGCGCTCACATCCTGCCCTCCGTCAAGTGCATGCCCAGGTCAGTCCGCCCTCCTCCCATGCCCAGGTCAGTCCGCCCTCCTCCCATGCCCAGGTCAGTCCGCCCTCCTCCCATGCCCAGGTCAGTCCGCCCTCCTCCCATGCCCAGGTCAGCCCGCCCTCCTCCCATGCCCGGACCAGGCGCATCCGATGCCGTGCTGCATTGTGACTGTGCATTGACTGGCAGCACGGCAGTGCGGTGAAGACAGCACGTGATGGAGGTGCTGCCTCTCGGCACGGACACGCTCGTGCCTGTGGCACTCAGTGCTCGCCTCCGTCAATGCATGCCCACGTCCGTTTTTTGCCCACGTGCGCCCTCCCATTGGTTACCGTGCGCCCTCCCATTGGTTATCGTGCTGCATTGTGCCCACGGGTCGCATATGAGGGGCACTTGGTATCGGGCAGACTCCAAGTGCTGTGTTGCACTGCTGCCTGCATGCCTCATGCCCCACCACTCTGCCTCTGCACCCTCTTGCCCTTTACCCCCTGCCAGCCATCGCACCATCCAGGTGTGGCCAGGCGGGGCGGGCAGCACGGAGCTGTGTGTGCTGCTGCGCGTGTCCCACCGCTACGAGGGCACCGTCACTCGTGCCTCCCAGGGACTGGCGGGCGGCACTGCCGGGTCTGGCAGCAGCGTGGGCGACGGCAGTGGCGACAGCCGTGCTGCCCACAGCGGTGGCAACAGCGACTCAACTAGTGGCGGCACCGGTGGTGTGAAAAAGGGCATCGAATTAGTAGAGGGAGAGCGCAGTGCAGGTGGCAGCTTCGCAGGTGGGGAAGGTGGAGGTGAGGGAGAGGCGGAGGCGGAGGAGGGTGGGGGGCTGCAGGGAGGGGGTGATGGCGATGCGGCGAGGGGCGAGGGTGAGGGGGTGGAGGATTTGCCTCAGATGGACGCTGCGCAGGAGGACGAAGGGGGAGGAGGCGGTGCAGAAGGCGAGGGCAAGGAGGAGAGCGATGTGGGAGTGAGAGGGGCGAGGAGAGTGCTGGGAATGAGAGAGGGTGCTGTGCCGGGGCTTGAGGCGGGTGTGCAGGGGCATGAGGCGGGTGTGCTGCGCTTGCGGAGCCAGCAGCAGCAAGGGGAGGCGAGGGGCGAGAGCGGGGGCAGGCGAGTGGTGGAGGTGGCATGGGGGGGTACGGCGCGCAGGGAGGTGCATGTGATGCTCATGTTCGAGCGCGTTCCACACGTCACGCTCACTCTGCTGCCGCCCGCTGGTGCCGCTGGTGATGGCACACAAGAGGCCCGGCGCGTGCCTTGTGAGAGGGTTGAGAGCCTGGACAGGCCACTGTCTCTGTGCCGTTTGCACCTAGAAAAGGGAATTACACGGATAGTTTATCCGGTGTGAGATACCCTGTATCATCCTCCTTCAGATGTGTGTACACCATGGCTCCTATTGAATTACCGTTTTGATGTTTCCAAACCCCTAATGGAGTGAAGCAACACTTTCAAGGAAATGTGCAGTGTTTGCTTGAAAGCATGTCAAAGTTATGTTTGTACAATTTGAAGCCCGTAGTAAGTTGCATGCCAAGGGGTACATAATTTCACTCGACACTCTTCTTGTACCCCTCCAATTTGACCTAATCCATCAGTCCTTGTTCTTTAACATGGTATCAGCGCCTAGGTTAGGACCGTTCCTAGTGCCTATTACCTGTAATTACTTTTCACGCTGCCCCTTGTTAGATCTGCCCCGCACGGACTTTTATTTTTTAGCTGCCCGTTGCGTGCCATTCGTGCTGCCCTGCTGCTCAGCGCAACGCGCGCACCCCACTGCTGCCGCAGCTGCCGCTACAGCCGCCGCAGCTGCCGCTGCTTCAGCTGTCGATGCTACTGCTGCTGCTACAGCCGCCGCTGCTGCCACTGCTGCTGCTGCAGCCGCCGCTACCCGCTGCTGCTGCTGCTACAGCCGCCGCAACCACCACTGCAGCCGCGGCTACTGCTTTAACCGCCGCTGCTGCCTCTGGCACTGCTACAGCCGCTGATGCTGCCCTTGCTGCTTCTACAGTCGCCGCTACTACCCATGCTGCTGCTACAACCGGCGCTGCCGCCGTTGCTACCCGCCGCCGCTGCTGCTACAACCGCCGCAGCCGCCACTGCAGCCGCAACTACTGCTACAGCCGGCTTCCGAGACCAGCTCCTAAGCAGTAGGGTCCAACATACCAGCCGTTACTGACAAAGACCGGAATGACCTCATCACAGGGAGTAGGTGGCTACCAGACGTAGACCCAGCAACGCGGTGCCAATCATCTACCTCGAAGTTGATGAGCCGTGCCATGCCGTTGGAGTAGAGTGCCCGTACCTGTAAACTGGCATGTCTCTTTTGGTGGGCTAGGATTGCCCACTCGCCCACCTTCAAGTATGCGGCTGGCGGTGTAAATGAGGAGAGGATGGGCCACCAATCATCTGGAATTGCATTGTAAATGGTTTTAAGTAGACTTCGGCAACCAGGATAATCCGATATGAGACCTCTTTCCAGAATTTCAGCCTTAGTAGGCCAGCGGGCGCCTTCGGTAGGCTGATGTAAAAATTGCTTAGCCGAACCCCTTTGGTCAGTAGGAAATGGTCTCCTTTGGTGAGTCCGAATGAGAGGCCATCTTTGCTTTGGATGCGTTGAAGGCTATTGGTTCTGCCATGAAAACTTATAATTCGAGCCTTGGTGGGAGTACTGCACACAGTAATTCAATCACTACTGTAAGTTCCGCCACTGCTCGGGCCGGAATGTTATTAAGGAGTAATTTCACAATGTTACAATGCAGCCCAAAAGGTAAGGTAGAACAAGACCGAGCAATAACTTCAAGAAGGGTGGGACGAAACGGTGATCCGCCTCTTGTACGTTGAGAGCTCGGATGTACGCGGATGGTTTTATGGCTCCGACCCCCCCATGCTTATGTGAGTTGTACAGTATATATGGTTGGGAATAAAGCGCATGATCATACCTTCCTCTTTGTATGTGAACGTTGAGAGGAATTTGACTATAACTTTGCCTAATTGCTTAGTGGCTCCGGCAGGTGGCGGCTGGAAGCGACCATCGATGGTGAAAAATGGGAGAAGGTGCTTTGATGACACAGCATAGTGGCATGCAGATGTGGCGTGGAGCTTGGCAAGAAAGGCTGATGATGATCGCATCTTTGTGATTATCTTCCCAGATCATGGTCCCCAGAGCATCACTTTGAATGTAAATGCCAAGAATCTATTCCGCCTCATTGATTGACATATAGGAATGGGGCATGTGTAGGGGTCCGCATCGAGCAGAATGTGCAGAAGGTGGATTGAGCAATTGGACCAGTTTGTGTATTTGCCCGACACGGCCGCAAATGGCAGTAAGTTAGCCATGGAGGTACGAAGTTCGCCGCCTGAGTTGAGATTAAGGGCCATGTCATCCGCATAGCAGACTGCAAGCTGTTGCACCAGGATAAATGGGAATCCAGGTAGAGCTACCGAGAGGTGGCAGTGTAGTACCTGGATAACACATATAAAAAGCAAAGGGGCTAGGAGGGCAGCCCTGACGGACACCAGTCAACACAGGGATGGGCCGACTAGCCAAGTTCTTGACCAAGAGTTGCGTATGCACACTGGTATATAGTAACATAACCTAGTTGATGCCAAGGTGAGCAAGACATTTGTACATAAAATCCCATGCCTTTTTTATATCAACACTGAGCATGACAATTGGAAGTTACTTTGCTTACGCCCACTCCATAAGGTCCAGGGAGTCGTTGACCGTATCACCGATGTGCCTCCTCTTGATGAAAGTTGACTGAGGGTTGAATGATGCATCAGAGGGTCATTTGTAGCTATTTTGCAAGGCAGATCGCGATGATCTTATACTTCAATATCATTAGCGTTATAGGCCATAGATTCTCAACCAACGAGGCATCCGCCCGTTTGGGAATGAGTACCGTGCGCCCAAGCAGCATGGATATCGGCATGGTCTAGGAAGTTCGGATGGAGGTAAACAGGTTGTGTAGTGCTGGTGTGAGAGATGAGGTGTGAGCACAGTAGAAGTCACCGGCCAAGCCATTGTGATGTTGTGTCTTGAAATGTGATTTGCAGATTTTGCACTTCTTACTTCTAATAAGGTTAGGGGGGTAGCAACTTGGGCAACTGTGGGGGGCGGGAGAGAGGATGGATATATGTGATTACAGAAGCCATCCGATGGAGAGACGGACGTGCCAACTTTGTAGAGGTCAGAGTAGAAGTCAGTACAGTGGGCTGACGTGGTCCGTAAGGTCAGAGGTGCTTTCACTAGACGGAAGGACAACATGTGTTATCATGGCTGCTTTGTTTCTTGTATTGAGACCAATCAGTAGCGAGGGTAATCCCATTTTCTTGGTACCTTCAACGTTGAGCTTTGCCTTCGTGACAAAGTCTGCGGCCTTGCAGGCGATGTATTGGTCGAATTGCTTGGACGCCTTGGCTAGCAGTGCTCGCGCCGGCATATCCTGTGGTGTTCGGACCAGGAGAAGATGAAGCCGACATAATTGATTTTGGAGGTGGGTGGTAGTTCTGGCACCGCGTATCCGTTCTTCTCACGCACATTGTCGTAGGAAAGCATACATCCAGTATTTTCAAGGGTCCCACTGGTCCGGAGTGAGGGGGAACGGGAGTGAGGGGGAAAGAGAGTTGGTTGCATGCTTCTTGTACTAGCAGCTGCACGAAGGTCTTATGTATAAGCGCATGGGGCAGCCACCAGGCTTGTGGGGCACAGTTGGGATTGTTGAAGCCCAATCAACACTCCGGGTACCTAGAGTGGGCACTGAGTGTGGAAGGGTCTGGTGAGAGAAGGTGAGAATACAGGGGAGCCAAGCCCTGGAGATAGATATCCTGTCGAGTGTGGAGGCTGGTGGATGATCGGAGGAACCATCCAAAAAGGGGAATCCGAAAGTGAAAACTGGGTCAACCTGTTGGTGCTCTTTAAAGGGGTCAGCTAAGTTGATGTGAGTTAAGGATGTCAGCGAGCCGGTTTCCCCTAGTAATCTCAAAGCCTTTGAGAGGGGGGTTAAGATTACATGGGGTGAGAATGGCGTTGAAATCGGCCATGGCCAATGTTGTGTCTGCAGCAATGGGGGCTTCCAGTGCAGGGTTGAGCGTGGTCTCCCACCATTGGCGTCATTCAGGATGGTAAAAAGGGCCATTAATACATATACATATGAATTGTTCCTGGAGGAAGTTGAGGTGGGTCAATAGTAGCCTACCATTATCAGAGACAGCTCTAATAAGAGATTTTAGGGTTAAAACCAGTAGAGCAATCCCTCCAAGGGCCGCTCTACCAGGGGACATGGTTACCACATTTTGGTGAAAATCCTTATTGATTTGGTGTCATTAAGAACAAGCATATCCGGAAGTTGGAGTGAAGGAACTTTTGAGATTGTCCTTCTGAAGTGTTTCCTGTCTTGCGGTCCCCTCTGGTTCCCTCTCAAGTTTCCACCTCCCCTCGTTCGCTACGAACTTGGTGAATATGACAGTCCTCCAAGCTCACTTGGTCACTACCACTACTCCTTGGGGCGAGCTTGTGGCGATCTGTACGGACTCGGTGAGCGGCGACCACCTCACCACGTTCATTCGGAGGCCTGGGTCTGGCTTGTACACATTGCACGTTGAGTTTGCACACTTCGCTACGTCTAGTCAGGTAGCTGCGTCTTGCTCGTGTCGGTTGCTCACGCACCCGTCCCTCCTCTGGCACCACCGTCTTGGTCACCCCTCCCTGCAGCGTCTGCGTCGCATGTACGCCTGTCTCCTTGTGTCAGGCCTCCCGAGGTCCCTGACCCCGCTCCCTCCGTCGCTTGCGCCTCCGTGCACTCCCTGCGTCGAGCGGCGGCAGCGCGCCACTCCTCATTCCTCCTCGTTCCCTCCGACCACTGCTCCTCTGCAGACCCTGCACATGGACGTGTGGGGCCCCACCCTCGTCGTTGGGCCGGACCGCGAGCGCTATTTTTTGCTGGTCGTCAACGACTACACACGCTACGCCACGGTCTTCCCTTGCGAAACATGGGCGACGTCCGACTTGTTCTGATCCCTTGGATCCGCGCTGTTCGTCTCTAGTCAGCTGAGCGCACGGTTCCGTCAGGACCTCTCGGTACTCCGTCTGCACTCTGACCACGGAGGTGAGTTTTCTTCCATTCTCCTTGAGAAATTTTGTCGTGAGGAGGGCATCACCCAGTCGTTCACGCTTCTAGCGTCTCCACAACAGAATGGGATCGATGAGCGCGGCATTGGCTTGGTCATGGAAGTTGCTCGCACCTCCATGATCCATGCAGCTGCTCCCCATTTTCTGTAACTGTTTGCGGTCCGTTACGCTGTGCATCAACTCAACCTCTAGCCCCGTGTCTCCGAGCCAGAGACCTCGCC